CTTAAATCAGCCTGCATGAATAGTTTCTCTGTGGCTGCACCACAGAGATGAACAGAGAAATGGGGCCTCATTTGGGAAGGCTCAGAACACTTAATTATTTCTTATTAATAAGCCTCGCCGCTACACAAGTAATCTGAACTGAAAAAAAGATACGGCGCAAATGAAGTGCCATATTTTTTTTTAATTGCTCATACCAAATAAAGCCACATTCTAATAATCTATTAATCTATACTGATACTGACGTTTTTTTTTTGCTTTCCTCTAGGTACTCTTTCCAGGACGAAGAAGACATGTTCATGGTAGTAGACCTTCTTCTTGGAGGGGATTTACGCTACCATTTACAACAGAATGTACATTTTAAAGAAGAAACTGTGAAACTCTACATCTGTGAATTAGCACTAGCCCTGTATTACTTGCAATGCTGCCACATCATCCATCGGTAAGTACCTCAGGAATGTATATCACTTTCATAAACAGTATATATCATATATATATATATCATATACTGTTTATATCATTACATTATAACAAAAAATATTCTATTTTTCATACCAAACATTCATATTAACTGGGGCTCACTGTTAAAAAAGATTTAATTCCCTAATTAAGCTTGTGATACTTCCCTCATTGCTATGTTACTATTTTGGCAAGAAAACATTTCTTATTGAATAATTCACCATCATATTTTACGTCTGTATGTTAAAGCAGGGGTGTCTATCACTAACCACTGATGACCTCAGCCCAGCCTGTTATAACTAACTAATTCACCCTTTCCTTGTGATCAGTTAGAATTCATTAAGCAAATTAGCAGGTATCCTTCTTTACTATAAGTTAAAGGATCTCCTATTAGTACCACTTGTGTCTTGTAGGCTGAAAGGTTGTTCTGATTTTTGTTTCAGATTATATCTAAATTACTTTAAAAAACAGTCTGCTTAGTTTTTCTGTTTAGTTATTTAGAGCCTCCAGGATTTTAAGAACTAGTGATTTAATAGTGTTAAAGATGCTGCATTTTGGCTCTCCAGGACCCCTGGATTAAAGAGTTCATATGTCTAGAGTCATTGGATTTTCTGGGTCTTATGTTAGAGAAGATATGTATGTATAACTATTGAAAACAACTGTGTAGTCATGGCATTTGGTGATTTTTTGTTACATTTTACAAGCGTACCACATAGGCCTTTATGCCTGTTTATCATTTAAACTCTGTTTTTACAGTCACACAAAAGAAGTTACATTTTATATTTAAAATATGATTCACAAATTCAGCTAGTTTGTATATACAGTACAGTATAGTGTATAAATATATATGCTGTATATAGAACTACCATGTACACATATACTGTAGGTGTGGAACAGGGTCACAAAGGTGCAGTGGCTAGCATTGCTACCTTGTTGTGCTCTGGCACTGGGCTCAGTACTGGACCTAGGTTGCTACAGTATATGTGTGGAGTCTGTATGTTCTCCACATGTGCACATGGGTTTCCTCTGGGTGCTCCAGTTTCCTCCCACGGCCCCAAAACCTGGTAGGTACAGTAATTGTCTCCTGGGAAAATTGGCCCTGGCGTGAGTGTGTGTACATTATGTCTGTGTGATTGGCATCTCATCCAGGGTGACCCTAGAAGCCAATTAACCTACCGGTCTGACTTTGGACTATGTAAGGAAACCGGAGCACCTGGAGGAAACACCACACAAACACAGGGAGAACATACCATACAACCTCCACACAGAGAGCAGCCCAGGTCCAAGACTGAACCCAGGGCCCACCCCAGCACTGCAAGGGAGTATTGCTAACCAGTGCACCCTTGAGTGAAGTGCTAGCACGATATACTGTATTAACAATAAAACTTGATACTCATGGATTAATATCTTACTATTGAATAAGATTACAAAGTAGAATGACCTAACTGTAAACTACAGAATTTAAATATAAAAACTATTAGAACAGTTACACATAAGTAGTGACGTGGTTGTCCATTTAGTTTGTTTCAAAGATAGTAGCTAATTGAACTGATGATCTCATCCTGCCATTTTTTTGAAGAAGTCCTTGGTTTAAGCATTATGACTGGATAGCTTGTTCTCATCACCCTTTATGCACATTATTACACATGCAAAATAATGTATGTTCTGCGTAACTACTTTGGCGAATCTGACTGATGGTGGCTGAATATAGCCTGCGATAAAAATATAACAAAATAATAAGGCTGAATGCAGTGTGATTAAAGTTATGTATTATAAGGAAAGCTTAGGGATTTAATTGGATTTGTTCAGAACAACAATCTAAGGTGAAATGGATCAGCCTTATTCAAGTACATAATTACATTTCAAAAAGATGCATGTAAAGATATCTTGTATTTATGGCACACACAACATTTCCTAATTTGATTTTTTTGCCTCAATCCAGTGGACATTAGCTGCTTTTAATATCCCCATTTATTATTTGCTGTGCTATCTGAGCACTTACTGTATGAATTCTATATTTGTCTTGAGGAAAACATTTTATCAACTAGTAGAGTACAAATGATGTGTTACTGAATATTTAGAATATACTGCCATTAATATTACAGCAAAGAACCAATTCCTACGGCCAAATTTTTGGCATTGTGCAAATAATGTATTTTAACAATATTGAGTTTGCTATATGAGTTAGGTTCTATATGAATAGACACTACATAATCTATTGCAATATTATCCCTTTTGTTTGTGAGCCATCTGATCTGTAGCAAGCTGTGTGGAGAGAAAGTAGTGGCGATAGACTTAGGACATCTAATAAGGAAAAAAGCATTTAGACCCACTCCCCAAGCAGTCCTGGTCCTTTTGTTATGCATTAAAATATTGACCAGAGGTGACCTGAAAAAATATCTCCAGTGCTCAGACTTAGAATGTGCACTGAAGAAAACTAATTTAGCAGCACAGAAGCAAACTGCCCAATTGGGAGAAAGTATTTAAATTCATTTGAACTACACAAGATGCACTGTGAGGAGTGCTGTGTTTCACAGAAAAAGACATATACACTTAAAAACGTCTGGGTAGCTGCTACTCCTGACATTAGTGCTAAAGAAAAGTCAATTTCCTGAAATTCCTTATCCAGACATACCTGTCATGAACACGGACTGAAATCCGTGTCAGATCTTGTAGAAGACCCTATGCGATGCGGTAAGAGCTGGAGAAAACAGGAGGCGTGGTAAAAGGGAACACAGTCCGTGAGACAGTGTACGGGGAAGACAGAACAGCATCCAAATCCAAACGGGTCCAAGGGCAGGTCAAAGCACAGTCCAAGAGTCCATCAACAAGGAATCCATCCTGTGACAAAGTTAAAATCCCCGGGAGGGGGGAGCACACGGACAAACAAAACATGGAGGTCCAAGGGTGACGGGGCGAGATCCTCCAGACCCCGGGCTCAGGAAGCGGGAGGTGTCGGGGATGAGGCCTATGCCCTCAGGAGACGGACGTAGGGTTTCCTGGTGCTAGGCGGGCCTCGCGACATCTTACCCTAATGATGAGCCCCGAGGACTGGAGGAGTTGGTCTTTAAATAATAACGCTAACAGGGTACACCTGGAGAGCTTAATAACACGGACAATAATGGGAGCAGTGGAGCACCCTCTAGGGAGGGATGTCGGGCGTGACAATACCACCAACAGACATACCTGTATTTCAGATATCTGAGAAAAAAAACATCACCAAATGAGAAAATATATTTAGGAATATTTGTTGAGGAGTCAGGCATGAGAATCTGTGGCTTATTCCTCTTGGCTAAGGGTCAGTCACCTGGCCATTGGACAAAGAAGTTAGATCCCCCATACAGAGAGTGTAAGTTAAAAGATGGTGGAAGAGCAATAGAAAGCAAGAGAAATATGAGCAAGAAAAAAGAGACTTATTGTGTTATTTATAGTTGTTTCATAAAGTGACATTGCAGAAAATTAAGATTTAGGATAACTAAACTTTCCTGAAAAACTCCACCTATTTATACGGTAAGGTACTATTTGCTACTCATTTTATCGGGCTGAAATTGAGTTTTGTTTGTCTGTGATGTTTCAAAACTTTATTTGAAAAGAACACTCATGAAGTATTAAGTGCCTTGATTTTCTTTTGTTGAAAGCCATGGTCATGCATTTTTCTGATGCATTTCTCAGATGTACTGTTTCTCTGACAAACTAATCCATTTCAGCTGGAGTTCATTTGTCTTTTTCTAAAATTCTGCAGGCAATGCTTATATTGTAATACTTATATATTTTTTGATGAACCTTCCATGTTTCTAACCGAGTCTTCTGATTCATGAGCAAAGGGGAGCCCCAGCACTAACTCCTGTGCCACCGGGAAACCCTTAGATTAACCAATTTGACTTGATTTTGTTGAAATGGATAATGTCAAAAAGGAATTGCTATTGACCATTTTTTTATCTTTTAAACCACAGAATTCAGTGGAAAAGCAGTATTATTTAACTAACAGAGGGGAGAAGTTATATTTTGCTTATGAACTTGACACATCAAATCTGTATTTTATAGCACTTTTGATACTATACTATTTAGAAGTACTATACAATATTATAATATTATAGTTCTAAAAGTTTTCTCATATCTATATATTTTCTTATAAATATTTTAAATCTTATGCGATATAAAAATCTTTATTGCATGTAGGAAATCAAGAAAAATGAAGGGAGACAGTTTTAAAAGCAATGTCAATTCATGTACGGTATACTGTTGTCAATTAGTTTTGGCAACCTTTATATGCGATGATACATATGGAGATAAATGGAATCCATTCAGCCCACTCATATCCACAGATGCACAGATCCTCAGACAAGAGAAGTGTTTGTCTGTAGTCAGACTTATGTCTTTCCAATTTTACATCAAAACATGCCAAAACATGACATGGGCAAACTGTATTGGTATGTATACATATTTAAGGTTTTGAAATTCAGTAAAAAGAATGCAGAATGACTTTTAATGACTTTAAATCCTATATTTTAAAAGGAATTATTTCAGTAGTCTAGGTCTCTTTCCTAAAACTCCTTCTCCAGGCTCTTCTGCTGTCAAAACCGCAGGTTCTGCCTTGGCTTTGCATCTGCTGAATTGCTTCTTACAGGCCGTATTATTGAAGGAACATAAATTATTAATTTCTTGCTGATGAGGAGCAGAACTGTAACATAATGCTGTCACCACCAAGCTTGAGCGCAAGAATGGTGTAGGCTGAGTGATGCATTATGATGGCTTTTCATCCAGTGTAAAACTTTGCTATTAGACAAGAAAGTCCTAATTTTGTCTTGCCTGACCACAAAACCTTTTGTCATCCAGTATGTTAACAGTATGACTTAGGTGCTATATTTTAAACTCCATGTGGGATTTGAGATGTTTTTCAGATGTTTTCTGTTCCATACAAGCCGCATTTTGCAGTGACTGAGATACTGTTAACCCAGGGAATTTCTTCCATCTCAACCATTG